AGCTGCTGCTGTAGTACAGGTCTAGTGGCGCTATCCGCTGCTTGGTGCTCCATTTGTAACTAGCCAACTGCTCAGGCTAGGCCGCTGGAAGTCCCCCAGTTAGTTGTGAGATGTCGGCGGCGCTTTTTAAAAAATAATCCGATAAAATGGTCCATGTATACATAATCATATGATGTGCCATATATGGTTATAATGTGATGTCATCATGACCTATTTAGGCATGGTTTCAGAATTTTTATCTTCAATAACCAACCTTTTAATATCAACAGCAGAGAGGTCCTGATGAATGGATGCTATGAATATTCTTGGGAACTGTTTGGCTTCTTCGTTGATTTGGTCAACTACTGGTTGAGCCTGGGGCATGTTGCTTGGACGTCCAACCTACACAAGGCAATTTGATACTAACAATAATAGAAGTGTCCATGTGTAATGCATATGTAGCTTTCTATAGATAACAAAAATCTGTGATACAAGAATGTTATTCTCCTGTTATTGGCTCCGGGGAGAAATAATGAACAAATTCTTTTATACAAGATACTATTCTAAATGAAGGTGGGACTAAACGTCCAGGTGCTTGCCTCTGATAACATTCCCTTACTTTAGTCTACTTTATATTGATTATTGCTTAGAGTGAAATCAAATATTATTAGACTACAAAAAATAAGTTTTTTCTAGAAATAATAAAGGTTAAAATTGACATTTAATATTGAGTCGTGGAGCTGTTGCATTATGGGTATTGAACTCCAATCCAAGGACTCCCGAGTTCAAAAGGTATACAAATATTACCAAACAATAAATTGGTTTTTAAAATAAACTAATATACAATTTTCTATTGAATAACTTAATATAGGTGTAAAAAATGTCTATCGAGATTTTGAACCTGGAAATATATTAATGCTGTTATTATATGTTTTATTAAATATTTTATTTAAAATATAGGAAATTATTGCTATTACTAGTATTATCAAATGTTATATTTCCAATCTGTATTAACAATTTCCTTCTGTTGCATAAATTTAAGGATTAGCCACCTTCACAAGGTACTCACCTTGATGTTTCTTCCACCAATGACAACCCCGTTCATTTGGTCAAGGGCAAGCTGTGCCGCCTCAGGTAAATCATACTCTACAAATGCAAAACCCTTGTGCTTCATTGTCACCGAGTCCCAAGACATGTTTATGCTCTTGATTGGGCCAAAAGGATGGAAAGCTTGCCGGATGGTGTCCTCGCGCAGCTCAAAACTTATTGAGCCTACGTAAACGCGACACATGAGGGCCAATGCACGTTGACGTTGTGCGGCTACTTGCAGGTTACACATTTGCTGTGGAAAAAGAAACAAAGTTTGAGTTTAGTTTTTGTAATTTGTGTTATAAGTAAAGATTAATTATATTGTCATTCCCATCATTTGAATATATTTTTATATTCACATCTGGAAAAAAAAACAATAAGTCTGTAGTTAATATGTTTAAGTTTACTGCAATAAAAAATACAATATAAAAAACACAAAATATAAAATATCAGGTGCAAAAATATGCACATAGATTACATAGAATTCATGGATGGACATTTTGTTTGCATGGAATTTTTTGCATGGAATAAAGTACTTTAAAATACAGCAGTAGACTTGACAATCAAATTACATGTCTCCCTCCAATTAATTAGGCACCCCTCCAATTAAAGACCACCTTGAAAAAACAGCCACTTTTCAGTGATCCCAAATTAGCAAATGTCCTTTATTCTTATTATTTTAACTACAGACCAAAGCTGCTAAAGACCATGGAAATTCAAGTCCAAAAAGTGGACAAAATTAGAGGAAGACCTATAGCTATATTATAATTCTAAGATGATTAAATTGATGGTCTCTCATCTTCATACTCTCTAGTAATACATACAAGTGAACAGTTTGTACTATATATGATTACAGTTGAGCTTGCCCAAGTCGATTCCAAAATGGCATTAAAAAATTTAGATAAAATTTGACTTGCATATTGTTAATTAATGGAAAACACAACAATTTGGCATGTAAAAATAAGATCGACTTAGAGATAGGCAAAGTTGACTTGGTCAAGTTTAACTGCTTGCACTGTTTAACAAGCAATAGCAAGGTTGACATTTCTAAAGCCCTGTCCAGACTATAAAATTATATTTGACAAAAAAAATGTGACATGCCTAAATATGGTCACATCATGACTATATATGTCCATGCAACTGTTTCTTGTCAAAGAAAATGTGATAATGTGAACAGAGCATACATTGGATTGGACTGGATTTATTCGGTATAAACACCAAGGATAGCCCACGAAAGTCTAGAAGACGACTTATTTCCAGTGGGGTCCTTCTGGTGGTGATTGGAGAGTACAGTGGGAGACATTCCCTACTCTTTTCTAAAGAGTGTACTGCGTTCTTTAGCATGCACATGGGCCATAGATGTCTCATCCGATAGACGGTGCACTATTGTAACTTGTATTTCAGCCCTCTAGCTGAAACACAAGGAGAGGCACCGATGGGAATTGAACCGGGGACCTAGAGATCTCTACGGTTCAGCGCACACACAGTGGCTACCACCCGATTAGCCGACTGAGCTAAGCTGCTCTACATGAATAGTATGACTGTATAAACTGTACTAACCTGTTGCTGGTGAGCTATGGTCTGCTTCACCAGTACACTCTTAATACTCTGCTCCATTGCAAATTTCTTGGCCCTGGTCAGAGCGTCTTGCTGGTCAGCGGTCAGCTTAGGGAGGCCTTGAGACTCCTTCTTAGCTCCAGGACCAGCAAGTACTGGTCCAGTCTGCGGAAGGATGGGCATTGGGGAGGGACTCCTTGCACGGGCATCTAAACAAAGTCGAACAACTCAATTACCATCTTTATACAGTAGTTATATCAGGGGTAACATTTAACAGTATTTTAAATATTAATGCTTTTATCAGAGCCTTGTGTTTAAACTCCTACAGACACTACTCATCTAAAAGTACATTTACAAGGCCATTGGGTAAATAGTAGTTCATGCATAAAAAATTCATGTGCAATCATAATCATAGTAAATAACTTTCAAACAACAACAAATCTAAGTATTCCCCTATCTGCTCATACTAATTGTTTGAAGGAGTAGCACAACTGAAACACAGTTTCTACAAATAGGTCTTTACCACAGACATCTAGTGGACCGTCCAGGCCTAGCTAGCGGCCGGCCACGGTCACCATGTGGTTGGTATGATTGGATGGTTGCTGACTGACTGGCCACTACAAGTTATACTGATCATGTCTCAGCCGGTTTCAACTGCAAAATCATTAAACACACACAAAAAAAAAAGAACGTATGAAGAAACAAGCCATATCAAAATCTAAGCATAACTTCATATAGTGAATTCGAAAAAATAAATTTGCATAGAAGACAAAAAAAAGCATGGAGAGGGGATGAATCACAATTCATATATTTTTTTTAATGACGTAATTATTAAAACTATAAGTGACCAAAAAATTGTTTACTTGATTTAAAGTGCAAAATAGCTACAACATCTGACTATTCTGGCAACATGAGGCAATATTTTCTTTTTTGGTGGGGGTGGGGGGAGACAGGTGGTGTCACAGGTCAAGCCTGCTTTACAGTAAATTATGATACAACTGCTTGATTTAACTTAACACTCAGTATTTTTCCTGCATATATAAAACTTTGAATATTCAATTGAGCATCTAATAATACAGTAATAATCCAACATAACAGTACTGTAATATACTAGCACAGTTTGACATTCTCATTGTTTAAAATGGAGATGTCAAATAGTTCAAATGCTATAACAAGATGCATCTTATTTAAGGGACATTGTAACTTGTACTACAAAGAAGGTATCTCCAACAATTTCACTGCTCCAAAAACAGTGAGAAATAATAGAAATCATTTAACTTCACCAAACTGCATTCAAAATTCATTGTGTTCTAGAAACAGGGTTCATACACCTTGGTTCATAAACATTTCCGTGGTTCAATTTTTATAAATTTTCTATACTCAATAAATCAAATTTCCAAGACCATATTTCACAGAAAATAAATTGCACAAATTACTTATCGGAGATACAGCAGTGTAATGATGATTCGAATTGTAAGCAATTTATTTTAATTTCCACATTTTCAAATACTATATTTCTACAATTTTTCCGTACAAATTTTATTCTTCAAGACTTTGAAGGTCCTGGAAAAGACTGAGGTCAGTTACTGTAACTTACAGTAAGTAAAACTTACAGTAAGTTTTCATATCTCTCAAGAACCTGTGTGTGAACACTATAGAAAACAATGATTTGATATGGAAATTAATTTTTATAGAGTTTAAGATGAATCAGAAGAACTACAGTAATATTGAGAAAGCAGTGCATTTACATGTTTAAGTGCATGTCCTTATGAAAATAAATGATGTGTTGCCAATTATCTGTAATTACGCCATCAAACTGTACTAACTAAAACTTTGTTGAGTTTTAGAAACCTATGGTTTCACATGGTAATTTTTTTAAGGCTTCAGCTCATAAACTTTAGTTTTTACGATATGGATGCACACTACTGCCTTATTGGCGTAATTTAGAGCCACTTGATTATGAGAAAGTGTCAACATCGTTATTGGAATTCAGAGACGAAGCCTTCAGTCGAGTCAAAACCAATGCTTAATCCTAGTTGAGTCACCTGTACTGCAAAAAGGGAACTGTATATAGAAACAAAAAAAGACACAAAAAGAAAGACGGCATGTTATGGTATACCAGGAATAGCACATGGTTGTCAGGAGAGTTAAGTTGATGTCCCCCTCCCCCCAACATTTTAATTGAATTGTAGCTTCTTGTTATTTTTAGTTCTTCAATGTTTGTATACCAGCTCACACAATACTATATTGCTGGACACCAAGGGTAGAATAAATTATATCTAATACCTATCAAATGGTGATCGAGTTGTAAGGTACCACATGGGGCTTACCATGCCAAAACCAGCATAAGTGTAAAAAAGAGAGGAAAAAAAAGGGGGAAAAAATTGATTTTGAATACAGTATTCACATTCTCCACATTATAAACTTTAAAATGATACAGTACAGTAGGTCTTTTACAGGAATTGACTTACTAATGGCCAAAGTCATAAAGTAAAAGTATTACAGATTCTCTGTACTAAAGTAGGCCTATACAATACTGTCACATTCATACTAATCACTCAGTTTTAACATTTAGTGACAGTACGCTGGCTTTGGGATGGCACGCCTCATAAAGGTATAGAATCATTTTTTTCAAATATGTTGATACCACTATTCCAAGGAACATATGAAGTGTATTCCCAAATGACCTTGACTAGTCAAATTCAATGCTTAGCTCATACAGATCTTAAAGGCGAGTCCACCTGTGCTGCAAAAGGAAACTGTATATAGAAAAAAAAAGACACAAAAAGAAAAACAACATGTTATGGTATACTTGTAATAGGACTGGAAGTTGGGGTGTAACTATTGTACTCAATAATTTCATTTGAATTCTTGATATAAAGCTTGTCACATTATTAGCTTTTATACTCTCTAACATCACCTTGGTTGATACTTAGTAAAGGGCAGAGTAAATTATGTCTGCTAATAATCATATATCAATCATATATCGTATATCGTAAATGTTAAGTTATTTTGGATGTTGTATTATTTTTCGAGGGGTGTTGTCTTTGAGAAAATAAATGCAATTAGTCAATTTATCCAGGTAAGTATTCAAAAAGTAGACTTTAAGTACCAAAAAAACTACGTCAAAAAAAAAATATAGAAACCACTATGAATTTCAGGGAACATAAAACGTTTTCCAAAAACCTAAGTTAATTTCTTGGGATAACAGACCAGCAATATAATAAATCTTAGTAGCTGTTTAACATTATGAAATTATGGAATATTTTTGTTTTTATAACTATTTATTAATTATCCATTGAAGTGTTCAAATTTGGTTTCAAGTTTAATTTAATTATACAAGATGGGCACTCTATTGACAAGGAGTCTATAATTTCCGCTGTTAAAAACTAGCCCAGGAGTTGGGTTTCAGCGAGCCGTCTCAATACTCAACTACACGTTTTCAGCAGGTTATCTTCAATATAAATATGGCTGATAGATACACTCTGAAAGAAACTCCAAAAAACAGAAAAAAAGAGAAAAAAAAAATAGTTATTACTGGAATGAGATTGAAGGAAACCTGTGGAAAAAACAATTTAGTATTGCTTTCAATTTTTTACAGAAGTTATAATTGTTTTTAAAAATGTTTTCAGAAACAAAACGATATACAAACCATACAATTCATTTTGTATTATAGTTATCTCTAAGAAAAAATTCTCATTTTCAGAAAATATCATTTTAGAAACATTCATTTTTTAAAAAACCTTAATGAGGGCTGAATTTGGAGGCATTAGCTACAGTATCAACTAAAAAAAACCTAGAGCCCTTACAAATGCTACAAAACCTAAACTGACAGAAAGGCAATAAAAATAGGAAAAATGGAAGTAAAATTCAACAAGCTGGTTAAAACTCAATTATTATCAATTTCAAATAATTCATTAAAGCCAAAAAAAAATATGAAGTATATTTAAGTTAAATGACAGTTAATTTTGATTTTGCACAATGGCTGAATCTGTTTTAAACATTACAAGCTGTCAATTTAGGTATAATGTATAGTTTGCAGGTGCTCAAAGACCGTACAAAAATAACCTACCGCTTCCCGGCTCCATCCTCATTCTTTTAAAATCGGGTTCACCTCCTGGGCCAACCATCGGCACTTCCTGGTCACCATTTGCAACTACTGGAACAAGTGAGGCAAGCGTTGTTGATTCCGATGTGATAACAGCTAAAGGTGTTGTCATTGGCTGCTGCTCCTTCAAATCTGTTGCAAGATCCATGGGCATCAGCATTGACTGCCAATAAAGAAAGATGATGTTTACAAGTTTATCATTAATTTACTTTCCAGAAACAAAACAAAAAAAAACAAAAAAATGGCTGAGGCATAAGGGATGGATTGGGCTGTGTCATAAATAATGATGATAATAATTATTATTCATCATTATTATGATTACTTTTAATTATTATTATTATTATTATTATTGAGATAATGGATGGTAGTTCCTTTCCAAAGTATTCAATGGGAGAACCAGTACTGTATATCTGCTGATAATTGTTGGGAATGGTTCAAGTCATATACCATAATCTTCATCATCGTCTACAGTATTAAATTCAGTACTTTGAGAAAAATGTCTTTGAACAACTTAAAATGACCCACCAGGGCTTTGATCATAGGTCACCATCCCTGATAGGTAGACAAAAACCCTAACATAGCACTGAACCATTTCCTTAAAATTTGTTTCTGTGTTAAGTTTGAAAATGAGTGAATCATTAATGCAGTTACGTCGATCAGCATCTCAAACTGGATGAATTAATTTAAATGTACAGTACAGTAGAACCCCTCATTTACGTACGGCACGGGCCCAGAGCCGTTCGTAAATTTGGATATTCGTAAAATCGGGGTTGACCCAAATTCCTATATATTTGCACTGATACTACTACACTGGC